ACCCCGGCAAGTTCAACCACTTTCCCAGGGTGTTTTGCATCCTTCCATGAAAGGCCCTAAGATTTGCTTGCAGGTATTTTTTCGTCCCAAACCTCGGCTGAGGCACAGAAATGTGTCCCTGCCTGTGCTCGGGCTGGTGATGCTCTGCCTCAGCAGGTTTGTACATATAATAGTGGCTTGTCTTGGAAGCTCCAGACAGAGATATAAAACTCCAAGACAGCCAGTTCTGCAAGAGCTTGGCCCCAGGGGAAATCTCCTCCTAACTGCAGGCAGTTAGTAGCTGGCTTGGAGTGCTTATATCCGTATATATATTAATCCCAGCTAATGTAACTACAGATGTTCTCATTCATAGCCCTATCTAATCCTGTTGGGCCCTTGCCATGGTGTCTCGTAGCATGAGTTCTACGAGTTAATTACGTGCAGTGCAAAGAAGCATTTCCTTTTATCATTGAAAAAGGTTGCCTTTTAAACGCCTTGAATGTCCCTTTGTCCCCGTGTTTTAAGGACCAGTGAAGAGGAGCACCTGTCTGACCTTCCCGGTGCTCAGCGTTGCTTGGCACCCCTCCATCGTCTCTTGGCAAGGCATCCCTAATCTTTTCCGTCCTCAGATGGGTGCCTCTCCCTGCCTTTCACTGCAGTTCCCCAGCTGAGGATTGATTTCTATAGTGCCACGATATTACACATTCACTGTTACTCTCTACCCCTTTCATAACACAACCTCCCATCTTGTGGCTCTTCTGAGCTCCGTTGCAATCAGCCAGATGTTTCATTGACTCCTAGATCTTTTCCTGGAGTGGTTGCAGTTAATTGGGACCCTTCAGTGTGTATGAGCCATCCTGTTCCCTCCTTCCAATTATGCAGCCTTCTGTGCACCGGATTTTGGCTGCTATCCCCTCATCCATTCGGCCAGTTTGGGTCTGTCTCGCAGAAGACCAACACATCTGGACTAGCCAAGTTGCACGGGGTCACCTAGAAATGCTTTTAGCTCCCTGCTTTCCACTCCATGATTACTTTATAAGAAAAATCAGCTTTTATGGGCCGAGGCACCCCCACTGCTACCATCAGTGCCCATTAAAACCTCACCATAGATTCCTGCTCCTTGTTTCCTCCTCCACAGCCATGTTTTCGAGCAGCAAATAATTTCATTTTTCCCTAGAAATTCCTGATCATTTCTGCCACATCAAAGATTTTTCTTTAAGATTTTCTGAAAGAACTAAATCCTGATGGTTATTTCCTTCCCCCAGTGCTCTGTGGACTAACAGACTGCAGACCTCCTGTTTTCTTGCACCGACATAATTCCTCTTTGCTCCTCTCTCATCTCATTGCACCCTTGCACCGTGGGGTGATCCTTTCAAGCAAGGCATGAGGATACAGTAGAAAAATAACTTCTTATCCCCCTTATAATCCCCAGTCATGTCCCAGATACCCTCCTTTCCTGATCAGTGAGCTTTCCTCAGCCCTGGGGCCCCAAGGGCTCTGCTCAGTGCAGGGCACTGCTGACCCTCTGCATCGTGGTGGGTGATGGACAGATCCTTGCACTCAGGGAAGTTGAGGCCTGAAAAGCCGTTTTGTGAGTCCAAAGGTGCCCATCAGGAAGGTCATGGGATGCCAAAGGGGGCGTTGGCAGCAATCACACCCCCACTGTGACTCTACTGCAGTCTTTCCTCAATTTGGCGTTACAGCCCAAAGGAATTTGAACCGTACTAGAAAAATCAGCATCAAGCACCAGCAGCCCAGCCACTCCACGGCTGGGGAAGGAGAAGAGCCTGTAATTGCTGGCTGCAAGTGTTTGCACTGGCCAGGGAACTGCAAATTACCTTTAATTGCTCCTAATTGCTGGCGCTGGTTCAGTTTCTCTAGGACAGGGACGGCAAATACACATCTGCAGACACCGCCTAGACCACCTCCTGCCTCCCTGCCCTCGAGGGCTGAGTTGCTGCTGATTCAGAGAGTTTTCTGGAAGATAGACAAGTCAGAGCGGGGTCAGGCTCTGGAGGAGCCGGAGTGCTCTGCCCGGGGCAGCGGTCCCGGACACGCAGGGTCCTGTGCCCCAACCTAAAGTTGGGGACTGGTGACACAAAGCACATCCCTCCACCCAGAGGGGATTTACCCCACCGTGTGTCAGCATGAGCTGTCAGAGATCAGCCAGGGCTTTGTCCTGGTGACGTCCTGGTGAGTCCCAGCTCCTCCATGACTTGCCTACTCTGCAACCTTGGGCACATCACACGTGCCCGTGGGGACACGGGTGACACTTGTGTGCAGAGCCCTCACAGGAGCCCAGACTGGGGAGAGAGGAGACAACCTCAGACAGATAGGGCTGTAAAAATAACCCAGCAGCTCCGGACGAGCTGTGCCGAGGCATTACCTCATGAGGGAAGGAAGCAGCAGCATCGCTATTTATTTATGTGGTGTCCAGAGGAGCGCTCTGTGCTCTGCAGCCCGGCCTCCAAGAGCCTGATTCTGTAAATCTTACTCATCACCAAGGCTTTTTTCCCTCCCTTTCCCTCTCTCGTCCAAGCAGTCCCACTGAAATCGGTGCAATCCGCTCACATGGGGGAGGATTACTCACAGGATGGGGGTTTGCAGGCGATGCCTGAAACCAGCGCGCAGCCCCAGAGGGGACGCCTGAAACATGAGGCATGTTCCTCCCCATCCTCCTGCCCTTTGCCTCTTCTTGTGTAACCCTTCCCTGATTTGCTTATTTTTGTATTAACTCCTGCCTCTCTGCTCTTCTTTAACTCTTTTCTGCCCTGGCTCTTCTTCACTCTTTCACTTAATGTGTTTTTATTTCCTCTCCCCCAGCCTTGTCAAAGCCATCCCCTGGGGCTGCAATGGGCAGGTTTTCCCACCTAAACATCCCTCTGCTCTCCGAGCTCATCACCAGACACACTCATTTCATGTTGAAAGTTTTTCAATCAAAATTAAGTTTAGAAAAGCAAATTTTCTGCTGTGGGCAGCAAGCAGCAAGCAGGGACAGCTCACAGCAGGGGAGAGAGCAGGACCCTTAACCAAAAAAAACCAAATCAGAAGTGTTAGGAAAAGAGGAGAAAAGAAGCAAAAGCGTTGTTGGTTTCTTGAAGGGTTTTTTTCCCCTTGCATGTGAAAAAATCATCAGGTTTTGGCAAGGCTCCATCTCTTCCCACTCAAGACTGGTGGAGTCAGGGATGGCAGCAGTTTGTTGGTGCTCTGGGAAGGGCTGCACAGGGATGGGATGTCCCACACAGGGAGAAGGGGAAATCCTGGTGCAAGGAGGCCAGAGGCACTATCCAAACCCTGCTGGGAGGGGGGTCAAACTGGGAGCTGCTGGTACAGGGAAGCTGGAGCAGGATCGTGCTGGGATGGGTTGGAGGGAAGCTCCAGCCAAACATCAAAGCTTGGACACCCAACACAGATGAATGTGGGATGTGATTTGTTGTCCCCAGATGAGGCAGATTTAGGGTGTCTCAGAGCTGAGGGGTTGCAAGACAAACCAAGAGTCACTGCAGGGTCCAGAACAAACCCTCATGGGAGTGGTATGCCCAGTTTGGGGGATCTGGGGGTGTTTTAAGCCACTGGAGCCCATGGAGAAACTCATACTGGTCCTGACCCACAGACCAGCTCCCTCCAGATTTTGGGCAGTGGGACACATTTTCCCCCAAACCCCCTTTCTAGCATGTAGCTCCCCTGAGGGGCAGAAGGAGAGCAGGATCAGTGCTCCCCTGGGAGGGATTTGGCTGGCTCCTTCTTGAGGATGCTGCAGAAGAAAAGGAAAGCTTTCCTGCCTCTCCCTGCCACTGCTCAGCAGGGGCAGACCACAGTCTGGCACGGTGCTTGCAGCTCTTAGAAATCAGGGCTGTTAACAAATGTGCGAGGCCGTAATCCTTTTGGAGCAGCGATGATAACAAGCCCTGATGCCTTTTTTTTTTTTGGTTTTTTTTTGGCTTTTTTCTTTTTTTTTTTTTTTTTTAACCAAACAGCTGCGCCGGTAAGTCCCACTGTGGGAAATGAGATGGTGAATGTTTTCAAGTGCAGTATTTACATCCCCTGCCAAACCCTTCACATCTGCCCAGCTCTGCCGTCAAGCCTCCATCCATCTGGCCGGGAACAGCAGGTCCTCCAGCCTGCCTGCATCCCACAAGGGCATTTCCTTCCTGCTCCCTCAGTGCCAGCTGCCAGGGATGCTGCTCAGCAGGGAAGGGCTCGAGCAAAAGCACTGAAAGGAGGAGGGTGGCTGGTTTGGTTTTTCTTGTAGTGCACGTGAAACGAATTCCCAACATCTCTGAAAGCACTCGCTCCCTGCCTGAGATCTCATGTGCTGAAGGGGCAATGAAACACTCCTGGGTTTTGTCCCTCTTCCTTACAGTCCTGCCACTGCTCCTGGGAGCCTGAGGGCGCTTGAAGCTGCTGGGGTGGGGGCAGTGGGTGCTGCTTTGCCTGCTCCCCTCCTCTTTGAGTGCTGCAGACTCTTGATCACAGCACTCACGGATAAGGCAGTTGTGTTTCCTCTCAGGCACACGCTGTGACTCTTGGGGATGGGCCTGTGCAGGGCTAAGAGTTGGCCTCGATGATCCCTTCCAGCTCGGTGTACTCTGTGATTCTGTGCCCACGGGTGGGTGTCCCCACACTGTGATTCTGTGCCCACGGGTGGGTGTCCCCACGCTGTGATTCTGTGCCCACGGGTGGGTGTCCCCACGCTGTGATTCTGTGCCCACGGGTGGGTGTCCCCACGCTGCCTCCCCAGGGCTGTGCAGCACCTGAGACATCCTGGCTGCGTTTCCATCCCCGCAGCGGGATGGGCTGTGGCAGGGCCACCCTCTCTCCGGTGCCATCCCCTCTGTGCCCAAGGGCCTCCACACCCCCTCTGCCAAATGCCACCTCCGTTGCGGTCGCTGGCTGGGTGGGATGTTTGCCGGCGGCAGGAAAGGTGGAGCCACGCCGGGATTGCTCCCCGGCGATGCCACAACGTCGCCTGCGCCCGCTCTGCTCTCCCCTGACCCTCTTGTTGTGTGTTCCCCCCACAGAGTGCGATTGCCATCCCGTGGGTGCCGCCGGCCAAACCTGTAACCAAACCACGGGCCAGTGTCCCTGCAAGGACGGGGTCACCGGCATCACCTGCAACCGCTGCGCCAAGGGCTACCAGCAGAGCCGCTCTCCCATCGCCCCCTGCATAAGTAGGTGGATCGCTCTTTCAGTGTCTGTAGATTAGAGATATTAACCCTTAGAAACCCGCAGGAGCCACTGCCCGCGTTGGGAGGCTGCTTAACCCTGTCACGACCGTGCCAGCGGGCAGTGCTCGGGGCATGGAGCTGCCTGGGTTCCCCTCCCATCCCCACAGGAGGGAACATAGCCCAGGATCCAGCACTGGCTTCCAAACAGCTCATCTGCCTCATTGGCTGGGCTGTGTGGGTGCAGTTACAGACCAGTTTGATGGTAATTTGGTTTTGCTTCAGGAGCAAAGGTGCCTCAAGAGCACATTTATTTTTGGGTACCACATCAGGTCTGGATGCTACAGTAGATCCCTACAAACAGGATTTTCTCTCCAAAAACAGGTTGTGCTGCACTGGCACAGAGCTCAGATCAGAGGAGCTGCTGGTTTGGTGAAGTTGCCATCACAGTAACACAGTGATAGCACCTGGGTTGCTAAAGGGGATCTTGCACTCACACAACCCTCCCAGAAACAGAGGCTGTTTTATTGTTTGCTTCCTTGGGCTTGCTTTTCAATTTGCCTTCCCAAGGCTGCTCTCCTCCTCTGCTCTTCAAACAACAGCAGGGAGCACCCTGGTACAGGTACAGCTCCCAAAGTGTCTCCACTGCAGCATTTGCTCTGCAAACACCCAGATCCCCACTCAGCCCCTGCTGAGCTCTCACTGCCCAGGCAAAGTGAGCTTTAGCCTGGTGCTCCTCTCTGCTGCCTGTTGGGTTTGCTGCTGTTGGATCATTCAGTGGCTCATGCACCTTGTGAGACATCTCCCCCCACCCTAACGAAAGGAAGCATCAAAATTAGTGTGCCTGGGATGGGCTGGGAAGGAGGAACTGCTCCCCTCAAGGGTGATTCCTTGCTCCTAAGAGGGGAAAAAGGCCCAACAAGAAAAGTGAAGGTTGAAAAAAGTCTTTCCTGGGAACCCAGAGTCTGCTCCTGCTCTGTCCCCCCCCAGCATCTCCTTCTCAGCATGGCCATTGCTGAATTATGGGGAAGATACCCTTTGTCCACCTTCTCCTGCTGAAGAAAACATGCATTCTGGGATGGGTTTTGGTCACTTGAGATTCATTTTTCCCCATGTTGCAATGGGACAGCAAGAGCTCAAACTAGATGCTTATTTCTCCAAGCCCTCCAGTCGTGGCTCCAGGCTGTGCTGCAGCAAGTATGCACAAAGGTTTATCATCAGCCATTCCCCAGGGCCATGGCAAATCAGAGAGTAAATTGTTCCTTGCATCAGCTCCCTTGGGATTTGTTGCACTAAATAAAGACAGACACAGGATTTCAACATGACCCATCCAGGGGTTTGGAGCCGGGCTGTGCTCACACAGCTCCCGACCCTGCGTGCTCAAGGCTGGTGTGAGCCTGGCAGGGCTGCCCTGCCTGGCCCTGCCACCTGACCACCACCCAGCACCCATGGGAGCCACTTACTTCTGTGTCACTGCAAAACATCCTTGCCTAGGGATGTTTTGCTGAAAATGCTTTCCAAGCCAGGCTCTGGCCTGGCCGTCAAGCCCACGTGCAGTTGTTGGGAGCTGGATCTGCACATAGGACTCTAAAGCAATTCAAGTGAAGATATGAGCAACTCACAATTCCCTCATCCCAGAAAAACCCAAACCAGGACATTTTCATCCTTGAAAAATGTCAGTCAGCATATCCCACACGTGGGAGGGGATGGAGTTCACACGTATTTGATCTGTGTGTAGTGGGGGGCTCCATCCCTGCCCACGCTGCTCTCCCACTGCCACAGGCTCACTGCCACTGGCAAGGGGCTGCCACCTTGCCTGCAAGGGCACAGTTACTCTCTGATTTACCACTGCTTATATTTTCCCTGTTCCAGAGACTTACAATCATGCAAAAAACGCCTCATGGGGAATGAACAAGACCCCAGTAGGGTCTGTCTGCACTGCAGGCAGGAGTACCCACCCAGCCTTTTGGGATGGCTGTGCTGGCTGTCCATGTGCTTCCTGACTATGTACCATGTCTTTCACATGGGCTGTGCCTGTGTTTAATTTCATGAGAGTGAATGACTTGAAAAAATCATCTAATGCTAATTGGGCTGCACCCCTATGAGCTGCTGTCACCACAATGCAGACTGACCCCAGCAAACCCTGCCTTCGTGGCCAGGTGTGTTCCCAAGAGCACAAGTGGAAGGAGGCAAATGCTGACCCCCAGCTCATGCCTAAATTCCACTTTCAAACTGGGCTGGTGGGGAGTTCCCCCACCAGGATTACCAGGAATGCACAGAAATTGCATCATTATGCCCTGAATGTGTGAAGGATGTCTGTGATGAGAGCTATGTATGTGCTCTGGGAAAGGAGAGCACCCTGCAAAGCTGGGGCCATCCCTCCATCCACAGCCCATCCCTTGAATTTCAACAAACACAGCCAGGCGTGGGCACGAATATCCCGAATATCATGTGGTTTTTGCTCTGCAAAGCTGGTCCCAAATCAAAACCAGGGACCAGTGCATTGACACCAGATATGTTTGGTTTTCCCTTAAATGTGTGAGGTAACACTTGCATCCCTGCAGAGAGATGCAATGCTTTACCTGCACCCTCTCTCACAGGAGAGGAGTGCTCACACTGCCTCAGGTGTGGGTGGAGACAGCAGCTGGAAGGGACAGCCCTGGGACAGGGAGAGGCAGCAGCATTCCCACTGCCTGCAGGGGCTGGGCACAGTGCAGCCCGCAGCCACAAGCCAAAATGTTTTGTTAAAAACCCCCTTTCCCACACCCTCCAGGGAGGCCTGACTCCCCAGTAGCTATGGTCCTGGTGCGCTGCTCTCTGGGGCTCTTGCAATGCTCCTTGCTGGAGGACATCGTTGGGAAACCCTCCGTGCTGGTAGACATGGCTGGGGAGGGAACATGCAGTGTGTGCAGGGGCCAGGCTCTCTGGGGTTTGGAATAATTCCTCCTTCTTTTCTGTCCCCTCTGCTCCTGCCTCCTCGCTGTCCCGCGCAGAGATCCCCGCCGCGCCCCCCACCACGGCCGCCAGCAGCACGGAGGAGCCCGCAGGTACGTTCTCTCTTCTTTTGAAGCACTGTGATGCTAAAAGTCTTCTGAGCAACCCCCTCCCTTGAACGAAGTTCCATTGAATACATAAATTCTGGTCTTTGTACCGGGACAAGTGGTTTCCTTTTACGCCCAAGCGTCTGAGTGTTCGAAACAGCTGTGCAGCATCCTGAGAGACGGGTGTTCCTCAGAGCATGTGGGAGTGTAGAGAAGGTGGAGGGAGGTTTTTCCAGAGGTTCTAAATCCATAAGCACACAGGGTGGAACCTAATGTGTGGTTCCACTCAATGTGGAACCAACACTTGATGGAAAAGGGGTAAGGATTTGAAACCACCTCTGGTTGATTATAAAGTTTCGTGGTTACCTTCTCAGAAGGATGAGAACAGTTCCAAGGAGATTTTCTGGTGGAGAAGGACTGGAGAACCAAAAATCCTCCAAAAGGGAAAAAATACCTAATCATTGCTTACTGCTGTATAGGAGCATTCCTGTTGTATTCCTAGATCTGTGCATTCCTTGTGCCAGGCAATCTCGAGTGCTGATGTGACCTGTGTGTGTTATAACAGTGTGTCTCATGTCTGGGTCTGAGCAGGGGATGATGGCAGGAGCCAGAGAGTCCCAGGAAAGGGTGACTTGTCCCACTGCCTGCAGATTCCTGGGGTATTTGAGCAGCGCCACAGCTGTGAAGGACACGAGGTGTAAAGGCTGTTTACTTTTGCCTCAGCAGTGTAGGAGGGTTCATAAATTTAGGAGTTTGTACTAAAAGTGATGGACGCCACCTTGAATTGAACTCTGAGCCGAGGCTCGTCCCGTGGCAAGGGTTGTCACACGGGCTGTGTGTGTTGCTGTGTGCTCAGGAGCTCTCCCAGGGTGGGGAACCCAGGGAGCAAAGGGACAAGGTCTTAGGTCACCAGTGTCATGGCAAGGTAAATCCCAGGGTGTTCCATGGGACTGATTTAAAGGACAAGTCCTGCTACGTATAAATGCAGAAGCAGCAACTCTGTGTTTCAGTATCAGGCTGGTCCGGGCAAGAATGATCTCCCAGCCTTGGGTTGTGCCTGTTGTTTCCCGTGTGCTTCTGGAAGTGTTCCCTCCAAGCTGCAGGGCTGGAAGGAGCCTGAAGACACCCCAAGGGCTGCCCCAGGCAGCTCCCTCCAGCCCAGCCCTGCTGAGCAGCCCTTTGGGTGCTTTGCCTTAGACACTGGGTGCCAGCATGAGGTGTGCTGTTTGGGGAGTCCCTACAAAACAAGGTGTTGGGTTATCAGGAACAGGGACCATCACACTTAAGCTGAAGCCAAGCAGGAGCAGGTCTTCTCCTCCTTACAACACTGTTTCCTGGCAATACCAGCCTCTGTTACCCAACTCCACCAGGAGAAATCTTCTTCCTCAGGTCCTCAGGAGCTTACTCGTATGCTATAGTGCAGCTCACCATCTTCTTTCAGCCACACAGAGCCCCTCCCCACAGCTCCTGTTAGCCCCTCTATCTTGTCCTGGTTGTAAGGGGACTTGGTGTGGGGATGTCCCCACCTTGGCCACCTGTGGGCTCCATGCAGGTACCAACACAGCTGGGGAAACAACTCCTTCCGTGACCCCCCCCACTGCCCTGGGCAAACGCCAGCTGGGGCAGCTGCATTTGGCCATCCCAAATCCCCACGTGCCACCTTGATTGGCCACAGCCCTTGTCAGTGCCTGCCCTGATGTGCTGTGGCAGTGTGACCTGTAGGAGCCCCAGGCTGCGAGTCAGGGCCACCAGCTCAGCACCAGGCACTGTGTGGGGTGGGCTGGGCAGGACTGGGGCTGGTGCCCCCCTGGCCCCTCAGCGGGGTCAGGACAAGCATGGAGCCTGCAGCAATTGGACCCTTGAGCAGGATAAGGGGATGCACAACCCATTTTAGGCACAAAATGGGGACACTTTGATGAGGAGCAGGTCCCTGTGCAACTAGTGGGGAGAGCCAGGTGCTCCCTGCCAGTCCTGCATCTCCCTGAATGCCAGCAGGGATGGCTGCAGGGATCAGAGACAGGTCGGTCAGGAGGTGCCCCTCACCTTAGACCAAGGCTTTGGGTAGGTGACTGCAGGGTTTTCCAGCCTTTCTCCAAAGCCACCTTCTCTCCCTGGTGCTGCTGGCAGGGCTGCACCCCCTGGTCCTGACCCCCCACAGCCCCTGGCAGCAAACAGCTCCACTGGGGAAGGAGTGAGACCCACAGCTCTGCATCCTCTTTGTGAGGAAAGGGGTTATTTAGGGATCTGCCCAAGCCCAGCTGAATTGCCATTGAGCCACTAACTGAGAACATCTCAGCAGGGTCAGAGACACCTCCCTTCAGCAGAGGAACCCTTGCTGGAGGCTGGGAAAAGGTTATCCATGGGGGCATCCTGACAGCCTGCAAGCCATGAGCAATGACTTGACAACACTTCTTGGATCCCTGTGTCACTGGAGGGCTGGATCTCCCCACTCCCTGCCCAGAAGGGTGACCAGGGACCAGCCCAGCTCACCAGGAGCCACTTGTCCTGCCTCCTCATGAAAGCTGAGCCAAGCTGAGCAATCTGACGGGCCCAGCACCCCATCATAATTCTACTCACAGTGATTTTATTGGACTTTTTAAGCACCGTTTTGTCCAAGGAGCTTGAACCGTCCACATTTCATCCCTTCCCCTTGAGGGGAGCATCTGACTGTGCTGTGCCTTGGCAACCCTCAGCCCCCCCCATCCTGTAGAATTCTGCTGAACTTTGTGGGGGTTCTTAGCACATCCTTAAATCAGTGTGTCTGCAAGCCAGAGCTCCTGTGCTGTGGGAGCAAAAGGGTTACAGAGATGGAGAAGGTAAATAGTGAGAGATTTTGGATGCAGCCAGTTCTGGGAGAGATGCTGCTTTATTTCCTTTGCTCAAAGCTGCAGGGGACAGAAAGCACCACCCTGGCCAAGAGCTGAGGGAGCATCACTCCACTGGGAGCCAACGAGGGGCACATTGCAGAAGATCATGGGCCAAACCTGGCCTTGGTACAAGGGGTGGGACAACATCAGCTTTGGTGTGGGGGGTCCTGCCTGGCTCTGCTTAGCTCTCAGAGGTCCCAATCAATTTGGGAAAACAGTCCAAAACTGAATTGTTTAGATGAAATCCATTCATGCTCTCCCACTCCGGGAGATTGGAGGATGAGGAGGGGGTGCTCCTCACTTTTGCAGCCTTTCTGAGGCAAGAAAGTGCTACCACCCCATCCTTCTCTGGT